AGCAGAGTTCATTTCAACATATTTTTGTATATTTTTGTCGACTAAAAGTGCTGAGAATTTTGTCAAATAATAAAAACGAAACATAAATAAACGAAAGAAGAGAGCGGACACTAGATCTGTGGAGGACTTCTCAAACCAAATCCCCTGAAGCAGACCCTTAACAAAGTCCAAGAACACGTCTGTGCAAGTCCCATCAGGCAATCACCTACTATCTCGCTTTATCGGAGATTTTAAAAACATCTGGTTAACTTAAAGGTTGTATAGAGGATGTTTTTAAGGGAAGAGAAATACAGTGACTCCTTTTTCAAATGTTGTGCATGCATGACACCACCTTCCTCCTCCACAGCTCCCTCAGTAGAAACATCTCCTCCCGCATCTTTACTCTAGAAATCATGTTTGTTTACAGCCAGTGCGCGTTCAGAATTACCGTTGAAGTGACCTGTCTAGAGGTAATTTAGCGACCGACGTGTCAGTTTTTAGGCCCTTCGTCTGCTTCATTGGCGCAATCGCTGAAAGGAATCTCCAAGAATCACCTCAGTTTGTCTTCGCTCCGTTTCCCCTTCTCTTCTTCTTTCAGTGACCTCAAAAACGGACTTTCTTTTGCGCCGAACTGGTCGTGGATTCTCGTCCGCCATCGCAACAAACTTTGTGCGAAATGCGAAGAAGCTACAGTTTGAAAAAGCCTCTAAGAACCGCTGCGTAAACCACATAATCCCCGCACGCCGACGAGTCAATTACACTAGAAACGTAGGGAGTTTGATTGACAACCGAACAGCCAATAGAAAATGAGGGAGCCTTGTTTTCTATTGGCTGATGTTTATCTGGCCTCACTACATCCACAGTTGATAGATTTTTATTCTTTTTTTTTTGGTCATCATAATTACAAGGCTGCTGCGTCTCTGTAATGGTATTTTAAACTTTCATTGACAATTTGAAACAAAAAAAAAATCCTCTATACAACCTTTAAACTATTACATATTTTTATTCCCTTTGGTGTGGCAAGTATCGGTGCACCTGAGCCCCGTTTCTTGGTTTAAAACTGCACTGTGTAACTTTTCTGCTGGAGGGTCCGTCAAATACTTTTCACCGTGGAGATCTTATCACTTTGTCTAGAATGTTTCACGGCATGGTGTTAAAGCTTTCTGTCTTCACACAGAGTAAACCAGATCGAGTTACAGGTCAGATTTGTGGAGCGGAGAGGCGACCCCCGCACAGTCAGAATGCCGAGATTTTCCAGTTATTTTTGAGCTATAAAACCACCTGTAATTGAATAAATATTGTGGAACATACCAGGTAGAGGAATAACATATCCATAGAAACAAGCAGGTGACGGACCCCAAACGAAAAAGTTGCACAGAGAACTTTTAATCTGAACTAAAACTAAAAATGGTTTGCTTCCTATGTGGGCCAGTTTGAGTCCAAAGATTCGACCTAGATTCGTGTTAGTGTTGGTTTAGTTCCAAGTTTAGTTAAAGTTTTGATGTGGTGATAGTGCAAGTGTGAATGCATTCTAAGAAAAAAAAAAACTACCGGTCAAACGTTTTAGAACACCACACTTTTTTCCAATTTTTTTTACTGTTTACTGTTGACCAAAACATATTCTAAACTTTTGATTCATGAAAGTGTCCAGCTTTGGCAAATATTACAGCTGAACACACTTGTGGCTCGCTCTTTTTACAATAGAAATCAAATATTCTTCAGAAAGTTCGGTAACACTTTCTTTTCGGGTGCACTTATTAACATCTAACCACCTGCTTATTAGCACAGTTGTAAAAGGTTTATTTGTCATTAATTAGTATTTATTTAGTCTAATTCCTCATAAGATTATTCTCTTACTGTATTAGTTAGACATTTACAAACACTTTCCTATTAATACACTCCTTATTACTGCTTATTAATATGATACTAAGCCATTTTTGTCCATGATTTATGATTCTAATAAGGACTAGTAGCAGAAGAAATTTTGTTTTTACTTATTTGCGCCAAAAGCTGATTAGAATCATAATTCATGAACAAAAATGACCTAGTATCGTATTAATAAGCAGTAATAAGGAGTGAATTAATAGGAAATAAGTGTTTGTAAATGTCTAACTAATAGCAGAATAAGTTTATGGGAAATTAGACATTAATAAGGACTGAATAAATACTAATTAATGACAAATAAACCCATTTTCTTCCGCTTAGAAAATGGGTTTATTTGTCATTAATGGATGGATGGATGGATGGACAAATAAACCATTTACAACTATGATAATTAGGAGGTAGTTAGATGTTAATAGTATAATAAGTGTTGCCGAAAGTTCTTCCCAAGTCTGTTACAGAAGTTTCCATAAATGTGTGGCACTTGTAGGTTGCTTCACTCTTCTGTCCAGTTCATCCCAAACCAGCTCCATGGGGTTTAAGTCTGGACACTGTGCTGCTGGACACTCCATGTTTTCAAGCTCACAGTATTGTTCTTTTTTTTTTGAGGTAGTTTTGGCAGAGCTTGGACTTGTGTTTTGTATCTTTTATCTTTTTTAAATCTCTGTCTGTTCAGTTCTTACCTTTGTACCATTTCGAGCTCTTCGTTGGACTTGCACGACTTGAAATTGCAATAAATAACTGGAAAAATTACGGTGTTCTAAAACTTTTGATCGGTAATGTCCATTAAAACATGATAAGGTCGTGTTTGAGAATCTTCTCTCTGAGCAGATCCTAGAGACAATCAAACACCCCAGTCTCTGTACACACTCATCTGCTTTGTGCGTCGTAAAGGACAGGGTCTTTTCTCTTTTATTAAGTAAAAGAAAGTGTCAATGCGATTAGTCTGCAGAATAACAATTTAAAGGTGCATTGTATAACTTTTCTGGTGGAGGATCTGTGAAATGCTTTTCTCCATGGATATGTTATTGTTTTGTCTGGAATGTTTCACAGTATGAGGTTAAACCAGACCAAGTTATAGGTCAGATACGTGGAAATACATCCCTCACTCACAGTCAGAATGTCTGTTTTTCTAGCTATTTTTGAGCTTTTTTTGAGTTGTCATACTGTAAAACGTGACATATCCATAGAAACAAGCAGGTGACCCCCCCCAACCAAAAAATTATACACCTTTACACCATTTAAAAAAAACAAAAAACTATTGTGATTTTTATTTCCGCTCTAATTTAGATTTTTGATTCAGGTTTCATGTTCACAGTGCACATAAACAAATTCACACACATGAAAAAGAATACATCTGCAATTAACAATAATCCCATGCACTTAAAAACAAATTAGGAGAGATCTAAACTACGAGATTTTCTGATATTTAAGACAAGATATTTTATTCCTATCCAAGGACATTGCATGACCTAAATAACTACTCTACCTATCACAAACATTTTACTCCAGCTATGAAACTCATTTACCTTCAAACGCTGGCATAGACCTGTGTTATAAACTATTAATCTTATAAAATAACTCATTAGTCCTGTTTATGAAGCTTTGGGGGGATCTGCATCTAGTTATCAAAGGTTTAAAAAGGTTACAGTGTCTCTAGGGGTGTGCAAAAATATAAAAATATCCATATATCGTATCATTTAATGTGATGATACAGTATCGATATCAGGGGCTACTGTATCGATATATCACCAAGAGTATTGTTTGGTATATTTTACTAAATTGTTTTGTTTCTGCGTTATAGTTTTATTGCTTGTTTATGTGACACATTTGACATTTTCACAGTTTTGATGATTAAAATGTTTGTGCTTCATATGAACTTTGCACAAAAAGTGGTTTAACAAAGACTTTTAGTATCACAGCCATGATTTTGCCTTTGTTTTTTGTTTTTTTGTTTTTTTTTATTGAACTGTATCGAATTGATTTGAAAGATATTGTATTCAGTGTTGGGAAGGTTTTAAAATGTATTCCCGTACAGATTACAGATTACATACGCCAAAATGTAGTTTGTAACGGAATCCATTAAATTACTTAAAGTGAGGAACGTAATCTGAATACTTTGGATTACTTAGTTTGCTGTAGAGAAGCAAAGACTAGAATATCGTAACATAAGATGTTTTATCTGCTAAAAGACAAAAAAAAGGACCAGATTTTACTGAACCAAATTAAAAATATTAATGATAGAAGAGGAGGAGACACGGTCCACACAGCATGATTTAGTCCTGTTAAATCCTGTTTGAGACATAGTTTAGACCTGGTTTTAGTCCTGGTTTAGTCCTAGTTTAGACCTAGTTTAGACCTAGTTTAGACCTGGTTTTAGACCTGGTTCAGTGTCCGTCAATGAGTGGAATTACCGAAAAAAGAAAAAAAAAAAAAAAAAGGGGAAAACAGGAAAATACCTCTGTGTAATCCATTTATTTCAACAAAGTAACTGTAATCCAATTACCACTCACTTAAACAGTAACTGTAACTGAATACAGTTACTCATAATTTGTACTCTAATTATGTAACTCTGGTACATGTAATCTGTTACTCCCCAACACTGATTGTATTGAATCAAAAGTGCACTGTACCGAGATATGTATCGTATCATGGCCTACGTATCGAAGTACATATCGTATCGTGGCCTATATATATATCGAGATATGCATTGTATTGTGGCCTGTGTATTGAGGCATGTATCATATCGGCAACTTCTCAACGATACCCAGCTAAAGTGTCTCTCAATTCCAAATGAGTTAGAAGAATTAGAACAGTGAGCATCGTATTCTAGCATTTGTCAAATTTTGTCCAAATGTTTGTACTATTTACATATTTTTTGAAAATATAAAAAAATAAAAATAAATGAAAGATTGCAGGCTGAGTTAGTTTTTCCACTTGCATAACCTTTGTCTTTTTATTTTTTTGATTCTGAGCATGTGTCTGTGTCATGGGTCTTCTGTAACACCATTGTGCAACTACACTGTGGGAACGGACTTCAGAAACTCACCAACAGAACTTTTCTCATTCTAAACACTGTAGTTATCTGTGCATTAGGACGACGCCATTCTGCCCTTGCACCGAGCGCGCACAGTACCCACCTGCTGCACGTACTGCGGAACCTCCTGCACCGTCTCGAAGGATGACTCGTTCGGCGTGAGCAGGGCGAACATGGCCCGGAACCCGACGGTGGACACGGGCACGGCCGGAGCAGCCATCGCGTCTACCTGCGCAGGTGAAACGTGGAGACCTCGGCTGAACTTGTTTTCCCCCTCGTGTCCCTGAAAGTGGGTCAGCTGGGAAGTGAAAGAGCGTCTCTGTGTCTCAGCTCCGCGGCGCGCGCTGACGCACTCTGAAGGCTGTCCGTGCGCGTAGGTCAGGCTTTATAAGTGAGGACAGGTCACCGGGGGGCAGAGTTTACCTTTGGTCACGCTCTGAAACTTGACTTATTCCCTCTGTCTGTGTCGTCCGGGGAGAATTCCACGGTCGTAGCCTAGTAACGCCCTCCTCTCTCGCGCGCGCACACACATACACATACACACACACGCACACGCGCATACACATATACACATGCCCCGCGCGTGATGAAGAAACATGAGCACATTTTCATTTTTCCCTGAGGCATGCACTGAATGATAAGCTATGGTTGACTGTACACGGTTGTTGCGTAATGGTTTGGTTTGGTTGCGTAAAAACAATATGTAATCCACACTAGAGTCATCATGAGTTAGTTAGCTGGTTTTATCTGTCCTGCATATTTATTGTTGTACTATTTGGCTGCATTAATTGTTGCATTAAGTGTTTATTACCACTAGTCTCAGCTGAAGACAAATAAACAAACTATTGGTTATGGCTTTTGTGGAGCTGTGGGAAACCAAACATGAAGCTTGATTACTAATATTTTATCATTATTCATCACTATTCCCTATTTTATGCAAAAATAGAACTCTAATGTATTAAAATTATATTGGAAATTCTGGTGGAAGTTCACACGTGCGTTTGATAAAAGTATATGGAATGTCAGTGTCGCCCAGTTGAGTTGAGTTGAGTTGAGTTGAGTTCATTGGCCATGAGTCCTTTGATCGACTGTAGTCTGACACTGGCCACACCCAGAGCCGCCGTCAGCTGTAATGGTTGTAATATCCATTGTTTGTTTGTTTTTGTGGTGAAGCCTGATGAAAAAGGGAGGAGCCTCAAAACCATTATGTTTGTAGACGGTTGACCACACAAGAATAGGAATATCATTAAAAACTGGAAATGACATTCCTGTTTGTCCTAATTGTAAAAGGAAACAACATTATTAGTCCATAACAAACATTCACTTGTTCATATGACTTGTATTTGAAATATTTTGTGTAAATAATTATACATAATCTTTTTTTCTGGAACCTAGATGGACGGTGAGTGTTGTCAGTCTTTTTCTTTCTTATTTGAAGATATCACATAAGAATGTGTTTTATAAGTCTATCACTACATTGCAACTATGTGAAACTTGTCCGTTTGTCTTTGCTCAAAAGAATTAGTTTTTGTTATTGCTTTGTGTCAAATTACATCTGACCCAGAGTGTTTTTACAGGGCCTCTGAGCATGAGCTGGATCCAAACATCACTCAAGTCAATGATCTGAGAGTGAAAGAACTTATTCCTCTAAAGCTCAGATGTGTCCTGTAAATTCATTCAAATGCAGCTACACCAAAGTGGGGAAAGTGGTGCTCTGTTTGGGAGCAGAGCCCCCCTCCTCCTGGAGCTTTAGTATCTATGGCTCTCTAAATGACATTTTTTCATTAATGATTACCAGTGAGAGGAAGATATGCAAACACCAAACACACATTTATACTCCACTGTGGACTTTTATTCAAACAGTCCCTGCAGACACAGCGAGACAAGTGATGATGAGGAGTTATTACAAACTGGTTTCACCTTAAAGAAGACATGTTATGCAAAATTACATTTTTAGGGCCTCGTTATAATTGTTTTCATTTCTCATTTACCCTCTCAAAGTTGTATTTAGAGAGTCTAATATTCTAGTAATTACTAGAAGTAATTATTGTGAACTGTGTGCTAGTGTCAGACACAGACTTGCTTCTTTTAGTCAGCAGTGTTAGATCAATAAAACGTCCATATTATAAACTAATGATGCATTTATCTATCTAGCAGACAAAAGCACAGCATGTCTTCTTTAAAAGTGGTAGACGAATCCCTGTCAGTGGATTTACAAGGCGCTGACTACAGTGGGTATAAAATCATGAACGTAATATTATTTACATGTCATTTACATTAGCTAAGCTAACTTTATTTCCTGACACTTGATTTGATCAATAAGTCCATTGCATACAGTAGAATCAAACTGAGTGAACAGTGCAAAGCTTTAGACTCCCTCACTCACAACATGGAATGTTTGCATCTTTCTTTATAAGATTTGCAATTCTTCTGTGATTCTAATATGGGGTGTAAAAAGGAGTGGACAAATCATTCATGAAACTGTGCATTGTGCAGAGCAGAGGTCCTTGGGGCTCTCGTTCTGGCAGTTCCCTTATTTGGAAAAAGGTCAGAGTTCAGAAGTATGATTCATCGTGGTTTCTATGTCAGCTGTTGCAAGCAATTAATGGAACGGTCAGGTCTCAGTCTCCATGTTCATCTGCACGGCTGTAGTCGGGGCAAGTCTGAGCTCAAAATGCAACCAATAAATTCAAAGTACATGACACTTTACAAACTGTCAGGTCAGCTGGTCTTTAGAGTCTTTAGAGTCTTTAGATTCTTTAGAGTCTTTAGAGCTGTAACAGCTTAGGGCTCGTCCACTCCTGTTTACAGTCAGGCGTCATTCGTCACTAATATGACTTCACTTTATATCTACACAATGCTTCTGCGCTGCTGCACTTTTTACACTTATTTAGCATCGCTGTGGACGATGGCAAAGCAGGAAACGGGCATCCTTTGGGCATCTTTGGGCATCCTTCTGGGTCGGAGTCTTAGTCCGAGTTGGGGCCGATCATAAGTGGGCGTGGTCAGAGCTTTGGTCGCTGTCGTGGCTGTCGTCGTTGGCTAGGGAGTCTGTGGAGTGGTGCAGCGCCGCGATCCCAGAAAACTCCGACGGCAGTAACGTTCCCTTCTTCACATTCACCAGTTCTTTCTCTCGAGCTGCTGCCCCCTGCTGGCCTCCTTTCACTCGCTTCCACTTCATCCGCCTGTTCTGGAACCACACTTTGACCTGCAGGAAGTAAAAAAAAAACATCTCTGTCATTTTTGATTAAAACTACGACACTTATCACAAGTGTAGTGTCTGGAAAACATTTGGAAATGCTCTTTAAAGAGGAGGTACGACACTTGAGTCCACACCTCTAACACAGAACATATTTACATCACCATGTTACTTTTTATTGTTTTGAAAGCAACATATTAACATACTTTATAATTTTCAGTTTCATTTTTCACGCTCTTGAGTCCTAAGTTGCTCCCCTTTCAGAGCACTATCACATTTATACAATCGGCCTGACTGGGCGACAGTTGCATGAGGCACTTAGATGAAAACTCTGTAACATGGAAAGGCTCATTTTTATTCATTTTTATTAACACAACATCTTGGCCATCAGGCTTACATGTCTTGGTTCATTTTGTTGACAAATTAGACACAAAAAAACATACAGAGCCAGTTTTTTGTATATATGTTTTGTTCATATGCATTTTTGTACTGAAAAATGGCGTAAAAATTTTGATTGTCCTAATATTTAGTGTTACATTTTTAATAAGTCAAGCTGAGGACATGTTTGAATACTCCTTTTACTAAAACACAGTTAATATTTCATAAAAAAATGTAAATATATTTTCCCATTTTGGCCATTTTTTTTTAGGTTTCAAAATATACTTCCGGGTTAGAAATCACGATATGACACTAGGGAATTCCACTATTGTTACCAAGCAATTATAATGTACACTGGGCCAAAGCTCCTCTAATGTACACAGAGATCTGCATTTGACAAATAAAAATGTACAGAAACACATGCATTTGTTGAAACAATGTTTAAAATATATAATAATATAATATAATATAATTTTTTTAGAATTCTCCCAGTGTGACGTCATCAGTGCTGAACTCTCTAAAATAGAACTCTTTACTTTACTTGTAATTTTCAACACATTTTTCAACTTTTCTTTGCAAATTCCTTCTAAATTGGTGTATTACTATAATTTATATCTTAAAAACTTATTTACAGCAGGTATAATCCCATCAAATTAAGTTAATATGAAGAGAATCATTAAAAAAAACAAAAAAAAAACAAAAAACTGTTACACACTTTAAAATAGACAACAGTCAAAATACAAGCTTGTTAAGTTTGGTGTGCATAGGTGCTACTTTAAGAGGTGATCTATATGCCCCTTTGAGAGAAAATAAATAAATATATAAAATTGAATTAATAATGTTCCATATAAATCTATGTCTGCAATCTGAAATTAAATATTAGAACATCTTCAGATTGGACACTTTTGTTGTTTCTATATGAAAGCTTATATGTTCAGAAAGGTGCATTGTGTAACTTTTTGGTTGAGGGTCCGTCACCTGCTTATTTCTGGATGGATATGCCATTGCTCTGTCTGGAATGTTCCACAGTGTGACATTAAACAGCTCCACATTACATTTTTTTCAATGACAGGTGTTTTTATAGCTTAATATCTAGAAAAACACGCGCTCTGACTGTGAGTGGGATTATCTCTCCTTAGATCTGACCTATAACTTGGTCTCTGTGAAGATAGAAAGGTTTAATGCCACACTGTGAAACATTCTAGAGAAAAGTATTTGACAGAGCCTCCACCAAAAAAGTTACACGATGCACCTTTAAGTGTTTTGTTGCAATTATGTATGTCCCAGTACAGTTTTCTATGGTGTATTCCATGGTGAATTCATCCCCAGTTCAATAATAATAAGTATTTTGAGATTTTTAAAAAAGCCAAATTTTAAAATACTCTAATAATTTGTAGCCTATAATACTGTAAAATAATATTGTTTTAAAGTCATCCACAGTACTAGCCTGATTCATCAGCCAGTTTCACTTCGTGGAAACCGTCTGACCTCGCAGCATTAGGATTTGTTCGCTTGATGGTAGGCGGGTACTTTTTTTTATTTAATCAATCACTGCTATTTGGTCATGACGTATGTAATGGGCCAAATCCCGTAGGAAGAACGGCAATAACGTCTTTCCCCTTGATAAAATCCTTGATCCTTAAATCCTTGATCTCGGGAATCGTTGCCAACACAGACTGTATGTCTTCGTTTACATCCATCTCGACCGCTTTGTTTACTGTTGTGCTGTTCCACCAGACAGGCGCTTGAGTTTGACGTCATGGCTTCACAACTCTTCGCTAATTGGCCGGTGCACGATCTACAACTTTCATGGTTCTTGCAAACTGTCTAGTGTATTCCTATTTCTGACCTAGCAACTTTAGAACATTAGATGACCTTTCAGCAGGACATCTCTAGTTGCAGTATCTATGTTTTATTGTTTATATGTTTTATAATTTGCCGTTTGAATATTCAGTGTTTTCTTATTGTTCTTTTCATAGATCTCTTTAATTACCTCCGCCAAGGAGGTTATGTTTTTGCCGGCGTTTGTCTGTTTGTTTGTTTGTTTGTTTGTTTGTCTGTTAGCAACATAACTCAAAAAGTTATGGACCGATTTTGATGAAATTTTCAGGATTTGTTGGAAATGTGAAAAGGAAGAACTGATTTCATTTTGGGGGTGATCCGGAAGAAATCCTGGATTCTGGATCACTTTGAAATTTTAGTTAACATTGTGGTAAATGGGGCCAAAAATTTTGTTTCTCAATATCTCGGTTAATTATTGACCAAACCCCATGAAATTTGACTCAGGGATGGACCATGGGATCCTCTTTCATATTCCAAAGGCTGATCCGGATCTGATCCAGAAGACTGATTTTATCGCAATTTATATAAAAAATGGGGGTAGTCCTTGGCGGAGGTCTGCGCTCTCTGACTGCTTTTCTAGTTTCATTTAATTTCATTCCATTTGTTTATCTGTCTGTCTGTCTTTTTACTTTATTTTTATTTTTATGTGCAGCTACATCTTGAGGAACATCTCCTGTTTCCTAAAAATGAAGACGGACCACAAAGATGACAGCTCCGGTTCGGCCCCCACCTCCGTTTTCCCTGACTCCACAGCTCCAGCCATATTTACATCTCCAGGACTGATGATTAAGCTGTTGCCTAAAACGGATGCAACATCAGGTAGCAGGGCTCGGGGGGCGCTGAGGGTGAAAAGGGGCGGGGTTATTTATTTCTGGGGTCTTTCATGGGGCTCGCGTGGTCAGGAATAGGGGCGCCATCAATTAAAGACATTCTTGGTCGACGGAAGGCCAGGGCTGCGAGATGAATTGAAGCGAAATCGTAATTTAAACGGTCGCAATTCCCAAATCGAAAATACTAAAATTATTTAAAGGGCCCATATTACGTTGTTTTCTGATCTATTATCATTTTGTTTCCTCTTCACAAACAGAACTGCAGTTGAGGTTTTGTTTTGTTCACACATGTTTAACACAAAAACTTGCATATTTAAGTTGAGTTCTTCTTTCGTTCTCGACAGAAAACTCTCTGTTCCACCTTGTGATGTCATGGGGCAATACAGCAGAGGTGGGACCAAGTCGTTCTTTTGCAAGTCTCAAGTAAGGCCCAAGTCTTTGACCTCAAGTCCCAAGTAAAATACAGTCAAGTCCAAGTCGAGTCCCGAGTCACTGGCCCATAAGTCCAAGTCAAGTCCAAGTCGTCTGCTTTGAGCTTCAACTCATTTCAAGTCTTTAAACCAAAATACCAAATATAGCTTAGATTTTTGCAATTTATATGAATTTTAAACTACGCTGTACTTTAAAAAGTCATTTATATATTTATATTATTTATATATGAGTATTTATAGAAATACAAATGTTTCCTTTTTAAATGTCTTGTCAAGATCTTAGTGCGAATCATTACGGTCAGAATAGAAAGTCTTCTCAAATCACAGGGCTCAAGTCCAACTCAAGTTCTAAGTTGTTGAGCTTCAACTCCAAGTCGAGTCCCAAGTCTTGGTCTATTTTATCAAGTCAAGTCTCAAGTCCTAAAAATTGTGACTCAAATCTGACTCGAGACCAAGTTACAGCTTGCAAGTCCCAACCTCTTCAAAACAGGAAGTCCATCTTCACTAGAATTTGGATAATTTCATTTCTAGAATTGTCAATCTTTACTGAATTAAAGGTAAAACTTGAAAACTACCACTTCATGACATCACAAGGAGGAACAGAGCATTTGGAGCTTTGGAGATGTAGACAGACTAATAATAAAGGATGTGAATGAAATAAAACACAACTCCAGGTCTGTTTTTGATGAGGTAACAACATTATAACTCGACTTAAAGCTCACAAGAGTCCATTTTGCATAATCTATAACCTTTAATTCAATTTCTATTCGATTAGGACGCCACTAATCGACGGACGCCAACCACCCTGGTCAGGAAGTTCACTGTCAGCACAAATATTTATCTTGCATCGTGCTGTGAGACTCTGGAATCCTCTGTAGCTCAGGGGCCACAGCGAGCGGCGAAGGGGCCCCTCACACGCACAGGACCTCTGCTTACACACAGCTCCAATAACACTCACACTTTTCCACTGGCACAAAGCACCAAACGGAAGGCTGTGCTAATGCTTTATGAAACAGCTATAAAACACTTAACGTGGCTGCCAATAGGACATTAAAACAGCAGCTCCGATGTTTGGGGACGACAAAGATTTAACACCACAGTGAAATGACTTTTTCCTTACAGGTTATAATTTTAAATAAACCTGTTTTATTCTGTGCAAATAGATTTAAGCATTTTTACTGCCCATAACAATGTAGATCATAATGGCTGGGATTCAGATTGCATTATAACATTCTATAGATCAGTGTTTGCCAAACTTTTTTTCTGGGGACCTGTATTTTAAAAGTCACAAATCTTCACGACTCAAGTCAATCGACATTATTTGTAAATCACAAAATAAATTTGGGACCATTATTGAACATTAATAAGGATATTTTATTGTTGACTGATTGTATCTCTCTGAACAATTGCTAATTATTACAATTAGCACTGAATTATAAGGCACAATATCAAAAATGTTGAATTCTCTCATCTATTTTCATACATAAGGCGCACCGGATTATAAGGCGCATTGAGCGAAACAACCCTT